AGAATGAGGCGATTAATTTTCCTTGAATCTTGCATCCCATAGGTCACAGCAAACAAGTTTGCCAACAGGAAACAAGGGGTAATTAAACTTGATTTCAGAAACTACTTCCTTGCTTTTACAAATTTTATTCGGAAAAAAGTTGCGGCAAAAATGTTTATACGTAACAAAGCCTTATAAGTTGCTGTCGAATTATGTAAAGACAGTGACATTCCTAAATGGTGTTCAATCTTATTGCATAAATTATATGGATGTGAACTGGCAGAAGACAGTCTGGCCATTCAAATGGCACATGCCTATGTATATAGTTAAGCAAATATTTCCTCCGCATCCATTCGCTCAAGTACACGACGGGCTTCTTCTTCTGTGGCAGGAACTACATTGCGAATCTTTAGTCCATTCTTTAGGGCATCAGGATTTACAGTAAAAGTGAAGTAGAACATGTTTGATATCTGCATCAGGCACACAGACAAGGTGACGCTACTCATGAATTCAAGTTGCAATTGAATACTACAAATCACATGCTTCTTCGATTGTCTTACCTCACTGGTTCGAAGCTCAGGTCTCGTTACATGAGCAACAACTTCAACGTTGATCAGAGGCTGTGCTGGGTTCTCTAGTTGTGTATAAAGAACACAAGATTTAAGTCGAAGGAAGTCCCCCACGTCAACCTGAGTAAGTGTAATAAATGATTATGCTATGAACATGTCATTTCCAGTGTAGCAAAATTTTGATCTATGTATACATATAGTGTCATGCATACACATACAGCTAGTGTCGAGTGCTCAAATATTAGACAGATAACAGGTATAAGATTCACTGTATACATCCATCGTGAGTGAGATGTTCCTTGGTTATGTTGAAGTGAAAGGGAAAAAAGTTTGATAACGTACACAAAGAAAAAATATCAGATTCAGTAAAGATGTAAGACTTGCTACTCACAGGTTTTAAGAAATCAACATGATCCACTTCAAGAAAGCATGGCATCTGCCCAACAAATGCATAAGCAGTCGAAAATGCAAGTTCAAATGCTAGGTTCATCAGAAACCCGCCAAAAATACGACCATGGAGATTCCTTTGTTGAGGTTGGCAGATCAGTGAATTCTCAAGTTTGGTATCCCTTATCAGAATGCTGTCTCTAGCTGCTAATGCAGGCAAATCACAGAACACACGCCCCTCTGCCAACAATGTCTTTAGCCTCTTTATATCACCATGTAAACTATGCCCACCATTCTCAAAAGTTCTTTTCTGTTCCTCTCGTTTGCCTTTTCGAATTTTATCCCTTGCTTCTGCTTCTTTAAAGAGCAACTTTTCTTGTTCAGTTTCCGGTAAAAGGCGGTTTACAGGAGCTGACTTTCCAGTCTTCGAGTCCCGTGCAACGAATATGAAAGTTGCTGTCAAAGCCGATGGATCTGATGATTCAGAGTTATCTGCTGCACAGTGCACCATAATGAAAGTCAGCAGAGGAAAGGCAGGGTGATTTAGTGCACTAAACATGCTTGATACCTGCATAAATTTGAAGAACAAAGTTTTAAGCAAATAAGTACTCATGAGATACGAGATTATAAATTTTTGTTTTTCAGACTGCACTGGAAATGGGCAGCAAGCTACTGGGTCTATCATTATAAAGATATGGGAACTCGTGGACAGATAATTGCCGGAGTTTGTAACTTCAGATAGTGAACAAAAAAAAGTGAGGAGTTCATGATTATGGCTAGCGATGAGCCTCCCTAATTATATATATTCCCATACAATTACTAGAGGACATACTACAAGACCAATAAATGCCCATAAAGAAATGAGACTACAAATGTATATTTCCATTTGCTTATCAAACAGAATCATTCCAAATACCTTGTTGATGAGTCTGGGTAACTTCAATCTGTATCTCAATGGATGATCGACCAGCCCATGTGACGGCACCTGCTATCTTTAGGTCAGTGTCTACACGCAATGGCTTCTTTAGAACCATCTTATCTACCGAGGCAGTGACCAACAAGAGGGGCCTTGTGGTGCTGTCATCATCAGAGCAGTGCTGGCCACATGCAACAAATGCACTTCAAAAACTTACATATAAATGCATTGTTTCAGATAAAATCAAACTTTCAAAAACTTCACAGAAATGACCAACAAGTTTGGCATGATGTAAATAATAGTATAACAATTCTATATCCAAGAAGCACATCGGAAGATCTTGTTTAATTTACAAAGCTCTTTAATCAAATGTTGCATTCTGAATTGTTACACAGCAAGCCATATAGTTTTCCATAAAATTTCCTCAACCACACCAGGATTACAGAAAGAGATACAGTAAATTATATTCCTTTACTATATAAAATTCCATCATACTGAAAGGTAGACTTGAAATGACAATTATACAACAATCCTTGTAACTAGCAACTCTCACAGCAGCGTTTGTCTAATATCATGACACATCGTAATGGGTGAGTTAACCATCAAAGTAGGACTTATAATGCATTTCTAAGTGTTTTGTGTAGCTTCATTTACTTGGAAGTTGGAAGCAAAAAAGGATTAGCCATTTTACCATGAAGCAAAAAAGATGGAAGCAAACACTAATAATGTATTTCCAAGTGTTTTCTGGTTTCTACTCACAGAAAGAAACTGAATCGATAACGATTTTGCCTGCCAATGAACAAATATAAAAGTCTGTCTATGGTTTATTTATCCATTTTACCATGAAACATCATAATAGTTTCTAAACACTAAGAAAAAGTTAATTCTGCTGATGACAAAGTACCCAAACCTCAAGTGAAACTTAGATGGGGCAATGGATACACTTGGTATTCTTCTTATCGATGTCAAGCTTCATTTCAAGTATAGAGGATAACCAGATATCCATAGAGACTCGAGTCTAGTGGCTACCTTCACAGAAATGGTGCCGGCAAGTGCGTCGAGATCCTCAAGCAACTTCCCGATCCTGACCTCATTCCATGGATCTCGGTACTGCTCCCTCAGGATGTAATCACTCGAAAAGTTGTAGATGATGTTCGTCCTGCTCTGTGATGGCGTCCTCGTCAGCAACTCCGACTGCGGCGGCCCTTCCTTGGAAGGGTCAAGAAGCCTCTCAAAGATGCTCGAACGCGCTTCCCAGAGAGCATTGGTCACCGGGGAGTGGTACATCCCCGGCCACAAGCTAAGCGGCTTCCTGATCGACGAGCTCGCGTCGATGTGCGGGGGAGACTCATCGAACGGCGACGCGAACGTCGAAACGACTTGGATCGGCGAAGGCGAATCTGGAGTCATGGGGCCGGGAAACGATCGTTGAGGTGGTTTTCCAGCAGCAGAAGACGACACGAACCTGATCTGAGAGGTGGAACGGGGCGATTTCGGATCGAAAAGGTTCGATCTTTCAAGACCTCGAGCTGGTCTCGCTGCTTTCGGATTGAAAAGACGCCATCTTGGGATCAATTGTGGCACTAATTCGGAAAAGGCAGACGAGAATTTTGGTTGGGAGGAAGAACAGAACGGTCCGGGGGAAGAATAATCCGATCTTGGTGAAGACTTGGGGTGGTTGAAAAGGGGGGATTCGGGGAAGACTTTGGATGGGGATGGTGGAAGAATGGGTGACGGATTTGAAGGGCGTTGACTTGAAGATGGAAAGTTGGAGTGGCGTGAGGGCGAGGGTTTGATTTGGGTGAAGAAAAGTGTGGCGATGGGGAGGTGCGAGAAAGCCGTTCTTTGGGAATGTTTCATCGTCCAGTGAGAGGAGGAATGGGAGATTGCTGTGAAGCCATACGGGAGAGTTCGTTAGGGAATGGTCGGTGGGCGAAGAAGGTTGGTGTGAAGCATTTAACATGCTCCAAATATATTGGAACGGGTGGTGCGTGGTTGATGGTATCTTTCAATACCAATTTAACGAAAATTTCATTGTTTTTCCCCCAAATTAACAGACATCACTATAATTGCTCAGGCGATTTACCAAGAAAAATCCTTTGGCTGGCATAGATTACCTAAAAGAGTATCATCAATCTTCGATATTTTTATAAAGATCTAATATTAATTTGTGTTTTTTTTTTCTGAATCAAACAAAGAAAAAATAAAGGATGAGTCTCTAAAAAATCTCACTTTTTAGATTTTCTTCATAATTCTCAAAAAGTAGTACTCTTTTTTTTTTTTACATAATACTTGAAATATATATTTTTATTTTCTTATGGACCGATCCATAAGGTAAATCAATTTAATTATAATATTTGTATATTATATTATAGTATTTTTAATAATACTAAAAAAAATACTATTAATATAATATTTTTAATATTATGGACCTGACTCAAATGGCCTTCTCTGGAGAGAGAGAGAGAGAGAGAGAGAGAGAGAGGCCATGAAGCATTTAAGCCAACCCCCAACCCATCCTGCCATCAGAATACAGAGGAAGAACAGTGCAAGCTCTGCCACCCTCGAGATCTGTAGATTCATCAAAACCTAGTCAAAACGCAGCATGCCAATGTCATGTTGACGTGCCGCAGCAGTGATGACATGGCTGAGCTTTGCATGGGGCCGGTTCTTGTACACTTGGATGTGCTATCCATCTCCATGTGTGCCATCTTCCTGCATGCTAATGGAACAATCATGATGTATAAAGCTCACACAATTAGCATAAATCCCTGGTGCATTAGGAAGTATAGTCATTGAAGGCAGACAGATGAGAACTCTTCAAATGAAACATCTTCAATTCTTAGATGCGGAGTATTATTGAAAGGCCTCTCTAAACTGCCAATGCTTGAGAGGAACAGCAAGAGGAGAGTCATTCAAACTGGTTATCTTCAGTGCTTTCATCAAAAGGTAAAAGAAAAAGAAACACAGGTTCCAGAGATGAGATTATGTCTTGGATCTAAACATCTCTTAATACAGTGGGTATGGAATCAGAAATAATTGCAGGTGACACAGCATGAGAAGGATTCATTCTCTACCAACTTGTGCTCCAAAGTGATAACAAGCTCCACAACATGAAATTGAAACTTAAAGATGATCTTTCGCATTCATTTTTTTTGTGTATACTAGGCTAATAAAACCAGGAACAGTTGTGCCAAGAATGGTATGAGGAGGAAAACAATCAATGTCCAGTTATCGTGCGCTGAGGTCTCCCAATAATGCCTTGTTATAACAACGATTTGTGTGAAAGCCGCTTCCACCTCCCAAGCTTCTCATTTCCCTGAAATGTTGTAATGAAATTTCAGAAGCTACACGAAACAAAAATTAGTTTCTGAGCTTAGTAACATTTAAGTTTTTAGAGAATTTGTTTTTCCTTTTGCGGGAGAATAGAGGGTTCAAAAATATATCTAGAAGCCAATATAATCTTCACAAGCTAATTTGCTTTGGTTGGCAGAGGAAAAGAAATTAAGAGTTAGGAAATCCTCTGAACACGGTGCATCATGTAATGCACTTAGAGAAAAGGTCGCAATCATCCATCAGCCTGACATGGTCCCTTCAAACAAAAAATTGAAGTTGCAAACCAGGGCAAAAGTCAAAGATTACTGGTTTGTTCATAGATTAGTGCTTTACATCATACGAAACAAAATGAAGAACCTTGTATTTAGCTCACATATCGACAAAAACCTCTTGAGTACTTTACATCATACGAAACAAAATGAAGAACTACATTTAGACAAGCTCACAGTTGACTCATGAAAGAGACAAACAAATAGTCCAACAATTTTCCAACAGTTTCAACATAAATGCCTTAATATCTGTAAACTGTTAATTAAATTGACATGTAACTTAAGAAACTCATGAACTCATATCCTTACCCACTGCCTAGGCATCTGCCACCTTTTTCTTTTGTCCCCTTATGAATGTTTGAAGGATTTTATCGAGCTTCCTAGTGATTTTCTCTCAGCAAGTTTTTAGGAGAAGCCACCTGAACTCCAATCCTTTAAACATAAATAGGACATGGTCTAAAAATGTAATTTGTGTGGATGTAGACAGTAACATCAACCACCACCAGAGGCCTTGATGTCACCATTGCCTACAACTAGAGATTTAATGACTTAACAAGTTTAAGTCATAGGATAGCCACGAAGGGATGCAATTGCAAGGGTGCCCACAAAATTAACAGGTAAGACCAGCCTGGACATGTCCCAATATCCAGAATGCGCACAGGCAACATACCAACATGTCTAACTAAAGATGATATTTGCTATAAAATGTGAGCACACCTTGCGTGGCTTGACTGCTAGCTCATTGTCTTCAATTGAGAATGCTTTGAAACCCACAGGATTCAGTACCTGCTCATAGCTGCAAGTGAGAATTGTTAGTGATTGAAGATCACATTAAGTGAAAAGAAGTCTTATATATATATATTTTTCTGCTATAAAAACATGAGATGCACAGTGCTTCTGAAGTTAAGAGTACAATAAGGACGTTACACAAGTAGAGACACTTACTCAGCTACAGTTGTATTGTATGGCGGTCCTCCTTCCTGGCCACTGATCTGTGACACACATGTTAACACAATGTAACTCAAACAATCTTCTGTTACAGCTACAAACATATATAATATACAGTTAATAGATATCATGGTCTTAAATCCCACTCCATGATAGTAAAGTTAACAAAAGAAAATTATTATACTATATTTTAAAATATCATCTACAATATCGTAAAATAGATTATTAAAAATATAATAACATTTTAAAAATAGGGATAACATACTAACTTTGCTTTCACCTTCATCCCAGATTCATCACACCTTAAGAAGCTTTCATTTAATAACCTTCTATTACCAAGATCAACTTCGTGATCAATGCATGTCAATTTCAAATGAAAACAATAAGAATTTACAATTTTTGTACTTACTTCAAGATTACAGACAAGCAACAATAGATGTTTTAATTTGAGCATTAACTTCTGCCACAGTCAAAACTAATTGGTTATGTAGAGATAGGAATGTAGAACCTAATAATAAATTCTAGGAATATTTACTCCTAGAGTTATTGTTGAATTATTGTTCCATATGCTCGAAAATTTACTCTCTTCATTTTGCAGATAATACCATAAACTTTGTGGAGCTAAACAACATACAGCCATAAACTTAAAACTCATTCTTTAGTAGAGGATTATAAAATGCAACTTAGAACATCTCCCTCTATCTTCTTTTCCATTTCTTCAAATATCGGACTGCTCTTCAGCCTTTTACATTTAATTATTTAGGGAGATCCTCCAATGTCTAATATCTTAATTTGGCTTGCATTTGAAACAAAAAATTGTTATGTGATGCTCTTGATCAAAATTTGCAGCTCCTCTTAAACCCAATAGACATTCACTTTAATTGTCTTTTGGCATCTGAGATCTGGAGGATGGTTGATGTCTGGTGTAAGATTCCTCAGGTTCCATCCTCACTAATTAATTAAGCTGGATCATGAAGATTCAGCTTTGTTCTAGTGTCTTGGAGTTTGCCTTGTATGGCTTTGCCATGCTGCTATTCTGTATGTTCTGAAAACCCAGAAGGTCAAAAGATTTTCATAAGCATTGAACAAGAACCTGAATACTTAATAATATAAAATGATAGATTGATACTTTTCATATATAATTAATATTTTGAAGAAGATATTCCAAAGATTCCTACTCTTTCTTCTATCCTTAAAAGATCAAGCTGCTTGAAGACATTGAATTCATTTTTCCCCTCTATTTTTTGTTTTCTCTCCTCTTCTTTCTCTTATTATTTTCTCTATAAGTCTGTCTTAAAAAAAGTTAAGTAACAAATATGGATCTCAATCCTATAGTGCAAATCAGCAAATTTATATAACAATTTACCAGGTGAAAATACCCTTTTTTTGCATTAGAAGATGAAGAACATTGGTAACTCAAAAAAACTGCATTTCTCTCTCTCGATGTCTCTCTCTTATCTTAATAAGTACTTTTATGCCTCACAACAAAAAAGCCATTCTATCCTTATATTAGGGATCGTACTGCATAAATCCAATAAGCCATTCTATCCATACCAACAATTTGGGTCAGTTAACACATTTATACATGTTATCAGGTACCAATCCATGATCAATGGCCAATCCAGTAATGCTAATGGATACAAAATAAGGACTAAAATAAAATTTTGGATCCAGGTTTAAATTGAGTTTCCAGTGATGGACTCCCTTGTCATCTCTACCTTATGGATGAAAAGGGATTTTGTATTCTATAGCACAACACAAAGGAAAAAAGCTGTTGAATTTCTTTAATAGATTTCTACCTAAAAACTAGTTTGTGAGAAAAGTCCGTAGACCAGGTCATACTACCTTAACATCCTGCACATGTAACAGATGATTGACATTCTGTCATTTACTACAAAAAAAAAAGGAAAAAGGAAAGACGCTTAAAATCCTGCAGAATAAATGGAAGGGTCATAATTATAAAAATTGATGGTCATTGTATACATCAAAGCATGTTGCGTTTCATAAATTCCATCATTCACAAATACAAAAAGGCCTCACCAGATATATCAGTGTTATAAGCTCTCCGTCAGGTTTTAAAATCTCTTGAATTTTCTGTGCCCAGGCTGGCCTCAAGCATGGGTCAATTGCACAAAAGAATCTGCCATTTATATTTTGAAATATGATCTTCCTCTAGGAAGGATATAACAATTGACATATAAACATGATTCTGAAGACTTACGTATAATCAAAGATAAGATCAAACTTCTCTGTTGGCTGCCAAGTGAAGAAATCTGCTGCCATGAAGGTGAACTGGTTTGCATTTGGTAAAGAGGAAGACAACTGAAATTGCAGTTACAAGAAAATTCAAACTTGAAAGATCTATCATAAGAAGACCAAAGCTTTGGAGCAATTGACAAAGGAAGGCATGTTCCAAATGTTTTGGCTGTTTAGGCACAAGCAAATCATCTTTCCATCAAGATGTTTATTGTTTGAGCAAATGAAACAAGGCTATTGCATTTTTGTGCTTTTGAATGTATAAATATGCAGTTCCATTCTTCTCAGTAACTTCTATTGAAGTAAGATGATTGCCGAAAAGCATAAAATACATATACAGCACAATATCTGTCAGGATCATAAGTAAATAGAAATTAGCCAATTACCCTATCATTTCAGCTTCTGATCTTTCCTTAATTTTCCTTCATCTTACATGCTTTTCCCATTTTCCACCAACTTCATTCACTTTTATTATTTATTGCAAAGTACCAGATCAAAGCATGGGCATTCAATTTAAACATCTCTACTTTAATAGGCTCTGAATGCATAAGTTGCTGAACCCATATTATATTAGTATTATATTACTCTCTTTATCAAAAACATACCTCTTTTGCTTTCTCAACAGCACTAGTTGATATATCCAAGCCTACAACATAGCGCTCAGGGCCAGCAATAGCAACCACATCATACCCCTATATTTAAAGAACAAAAGAAATACTTCAATCATTAAAACTAGACCAGCTAAGTTCAAATTGTTAACTTTGAAAATTAGCAGTTGGAAGATCTAGATGAGATGTAACCCAAACAGATAAGAATCAATTTCCAAGATGAAAAAGGTTCCATTTAACTTTACTGATCGTGATAATAAATAACACCATCAGTAGCTCCTTTCTGCAGAGTGCAGACTGCTATGGTCAGGGACATTAGCATATATGCTACCACAGTTAGCACACAGAATTTCCAAATTTCTTGTACAAAATATATACAACATCATTTCCATTAGTAAAACTAATGTATTTTTAATTAAAAAATAACCTGATATCCTTGTCTGGTTTGTAAGCATTAGGATATTCTAATAGAACAAGAGCTTCAGGGAAATGTTCTACTCTGAATTAATCAACAAAACTATAGCTAAAGTGTGACAAAATATCAAATTTGAAAAGAGAATGTCCTTCTTGGAACTTAATGCCAATTATACAAGGAAATAGGCCTTACACTGCCACATCCAGGAACAAGAACCCTGCCTCTTGGAAGAGACCCAGTTCTAACAAGTTGCAAAACTGCAGGTGTTGCCTGTCCCAAATCCCATGGGGTCAGTCCTTCCTCCCAGCATTTTTCCCAGCCATCTGATCATTAAAAACCATTTATGTAAATAAACTCACATTACATCTTTAAATATATACAGTATGTACATATTGAATATAGTGAAGGAAACATATGGTTAGTAAAGAATTGTACATGATTCATGCTATCGATCTATGATGCCATTTGGGGTATCTACAGAAACTTGAGTAAGATCAAGGAAAATCATAACATTGATGGTGCTAAGATGTCTGCTCTAATATTACATCCAGTTTACCAACAGACAACTTCCTTGTATGCTATATATATACACAATTATAAGCTAATATATGTTGTTCTAACTTTTAGGAACATCAACAGAGTTTTAAGCCCATTAGTTGCTGTTGTTTGGCAACATATTTGTCCAAGTCTTAGTTGCATTTCACATAATTACTTAAAAAACTTCCTTTTCAATTTCTATAATTCATTAAACTTCCAAAAAGTTAATGTCAACTTAATTTTAAAAATAAAGTAAAAAATGTGCATTCAATACCACAAGCAAAAGGATGCTTGTATTCTGAGGTTATAGTGTCCTGAAAAAAGGAACTAAAAAAGGTACTCTAGACTAAGTGATATTAAGAGAAAGAAAAATATGTATAAAATAAGTATTTCAACATATATAGACATGTATATATATATACTAATGCCTTAAACCTCTAATGTCACTTTTTTAGCTTCCTACAAAACCTATGACAAATATTAGAGCATTGTTCCAGGTTGTACAAGTATGACCTTATAGTGCATCACAAAAAGGTCCTCTTTTGTTTCAGACTTACTGAATGGGAAGTCAAGCTTTTACTAGGTTGAAACATATTGTATTAGAAGTTGGGAACAGATTTGAAGTTAAAGCTCAGTGATGATATATCTGAGTCATACAACCATGTCAAAAATGAAGGCTACCGCCATAGATAAAAACAAGAGTAGGACTCTGTTATAACACCAACATAGACACCAAGACTTGCTTGTTAAAGTTTGAGATCAAACCCAGCAATATTCTTTTTACTGTTAAATGCATTTGTCGTCTGAGGTTTTCTTGAATGGATTGTTGGTAGAACAATCAAAGGTCCACCACCACATCCACGATCAAACAGAAAACAAAGTAACGATGGACAAAGCACAGATAACTTGGACTTTTACATGGTTCGGTCTTCCCGCAGGCGATACAGGACAAGAATCCTCATTTTCACTGTCAACAGAGAGAGAACCACGATATTTAATTATTAACCCCACAAAGAACTCAATTATGGTCAGGTTGATAATGAGCAAGTTATCCCATCAAGTCAAGTTTGTGCTGAGACCCCGCAGCCCCGGTGGCTTAAGTTGTAGGTGTCAATGTTTCGGCATAACAACAGCGGTCCAAAAGAATCCGCAGTGTCCATGCTAAACCTAACGCATAAATCATAGTTAAACCCCTCAAAATAAGGTCTCCTAGTGAGGGAAAAATAGTTTCTTGGTGAGAAAACCCCCACAAAAGGGGTTTTTTTTAATCTGGTGACATAGAGCCTCGAATCACCGACAGCACTGATCGAGATGGATAGGGCAATCTTGAAGAAGGATATCCAAATATGAAAGAACAAAGAAGATCAACCTGTTGCATCGTCGTTCACGAGTCCTCGAATCATGACCACCTTGGGGTTGGAAGCCGGATCACGGGCTGGGTTCTCAGCTCCGCCGTCCGTCGCCATCCTCGCCACCATGGCCGGTGCCGGGACCCTGAGGCGATTTATAGCCGTCGGTAGCCGCGGCAGTCTCGGCCGCCGTATCCAAGGCGCCCCCGGAACTCGTGGCGGGTGACGCGCGCGCTGACATATGCCTACCCGCAAGAAGGGAAGCATTCGCTGTTCATTGCGTCACCCATTACACACAATCCTCATATATTTTAGGCAAAATTGCATATTAAATCCATAAATATTTATGGGTAATTTATCAGAAAAATCTCAGTAATTACTTTGTACCGAATGATACCCGCATAATTAATTTTTACCATTATTATTATTATTTTTTATAATATAGTTGAACTAATTTGTTTAAAGCCATAACATTTAATTTGAGCATCATCGTTTGGGGTAGGACGGTTCAATCGAGTCCCATCGAGTATAATCAATGAACCATCAAATCAATCTGAATTTTTTCAAGACTATTTGTACATGAGTTTTAAGGTATTTATTTTTTTTTAATTTTTATGATTTTAAGATAAATAAATTTTAAATATAATATTTTTGGGTTGAATGAATCGAGTATAGCTAGTTGAATTTTCACTATATCTATCCAAACTTCTTTAATAATAAATTATTAAGGTAAAATAAAAATATATTTAATATTATTTTTTTTTAATTTTTTTATAAATTTAGGGTAATTAATTTTTGAAATAAGATATTTTTGGTTGAATTGTGATCTGAGTATAACTATTTGAATTTTAACTAAATCTATCCAAACTTTTTTGGAATTACTAGGTAAGATAGAAATATGTTTAATATCACTTTTTTAAAATTTTATACGAATTTAGGATGATTAATTTTTAAAATAATATTTTTTATGTTAAATTTATGATGAGTGTAACCCAAATGTAACTCAAGTGTAATAGTTTTTCTAGATAAACGGTGAGAAGGAGATGGTGGAGAATGAGGTGTTAGATCATGTGGTCCTATCTAATTAGATAAGATATATTATAAATCTGATTGGATTTTAATTATGATTATTGATCAATAAAAAGGAAGTCCAATTATAGTAGGAATCTTTATAAGATGACATTGATAGGATTGACTTTTCTAATTATCATCGTAGACCTTTTGCTCTTATTTGCTTATAAAAGATAAAGCTCTTAAGGATGAAATATTATTTATTGAGATTACATATAAAGAGAGGAGAACGAGAGTTTAGTTCTACTTGTAAATGTAAATCTATATTGTTGTAGTTTTTAGATTTGATAACGGTGCAAATCAGATAAACTTTTTAAGTAGCATTGAAAAGGTACATATTGTATATTTGATTTTAATTTTTGACATAATCATGATCTTTATGCTTAAAATTTTGGTAATGAAGTTATGCTTTAAATCAAATATCAAATTTGGTATCAAATATGCTTTAATTATATAATGCTTGAATGATCTATTTATGTTGTTGATCAGCTTTCTTATCTAGTCCACCATGTCGATTGCTTATAAATGATGTGAGGTTCACGTGTTTGATTGATTGATCACTATCGACAACTTGCTGTCGGTGATAATATTGTTGAGGGTGGTGGCCTCTAGTGGTCATCAGCCCAGTCATAGGCAGCGATAGCCACATGTTGGACTGCTTGTGTGTAGCAACCTTACGACGGTTGGCCTGCCTTAGTCATAGGCAGTTGCAGTAGTGCCACTACCTGTGGCAACTACAACAATACTACTACGACATTTGTTGGCTGCAATCAACGTTAATTGGACGTTGTAGGTTGTGATTCCCAATAATTACATAATGGAAAAGGGAACGATGATGATAACTAGTGGGCTTATCGCTAGTCAGTTGTGGGCGGCGACCTCACCGTGGGCAATGATGTTGTCATCGGCAAAGAGAGAGGTGACAGCTAGTCATAGGTGCCCTACAAGCCAATCACATGAGTGATGACACATGTAACATGACACACACTCCTTTTGCTTATTATTATTTACTAGTATTTTATCACTTTATCTTATGTGTTACATATATTGTAATGTTCATGGATCTATACAGAGAATCATAGCATATTGAGATTACGATAATGAGACCCATTTATTTTTAAACACAGACTCTAAAGAATCCTGATCATAGGTTACTCGAGAGAAATATCGAGATAACCAGATAGACTAGTGTGCTGTATACCCGTCCATATTATGGAGGTGGTTGGTTTCATAGCGATTCGTGTGGGGATACTAGGAATACAGTGCATGTGCTCATTAGAGAATAAGTTCACTGATCGATACACTCACAAAATGTTAGATGGTTAATGATACCTCATTATCAAATAATAATTCTGTCATCCCAGTGGTGTATCTAGTTCTTAAACTTAAGACACCAAGGATGTCCTGTGTGAGTACTTCACTCTTTAATATCAGACTTATAGACTTTGAAGTTTCAGATTTAGCACAACCGGTTATCGAGTGTGACAACTAACCTTACAAGGACTATTGAGTGTCGATAGAGGATCATCCACTCTCGGTATTATTGAATCTCAGATTTTAATGATGAAATCAATTGATAAGTTTACGATCTAATATGTGTTTTGAGTGACGTAGGACTAACTTTGATTAGAAAAGATAAATTGATTAAAGTAGAAAAAATCGGACGTTAGGCCAGAGTGAACATGTCAAAAGATTGGACGTCGGTTGGAGGATCGATCGATGTGCCGGTATAAGGACTTCATGACATGAGTTTGGGCATCAGGTCAAAGGATTGGACATTACGTCAAGGAGATCGAAAGTTACGGGAGGTCAACATGTTGATTGGGCAATACACCGAAGGAGAGGATGATGCACCAAAGGATCGGACGAAGCATCAGATGAACCAATGACATGTCGGACAATATAGAATTCTAGTCTTGTAATCGGTTGTCTTAATTGGTCATAATTAGGTCGCCCACTAGGGCTTGAGTTGGGACTATTTTGGGCCAAGTAGAAGGCTCATTCGATCATTTAATTAGGTGAAATCACCTATGAGCTAAAAAAGTCAAGAGTACACTTTTCCAAGTTGTCAAGCGGTGGTACCGTCAAACTAGGCGGTGGTACCGCCCAGACATAATATCTCAGAATGTGTCAAGCGATGGTACCATCAGGCTAGACAATGATACCACTCGAATTTAGTCTTTCAGACTATGTCAGGCGATGATACCACCAGTCTAGGTGGTAGTACCGCCCAACATAAGTGGTGGTACTGCTAGGACTTGGGAAACCCAAGATGAGATCTTTTTTGGCTCCATTTTTGAAGTTATTTAGAGTCTATAGATACTCTACCATTTCCTACTTAGAAAAGCATGAAATTGAGTAGAAGAGGGGGAAAATATACTTGAAAAAAAAGTGTTATAATTTTTCTACAGTAGTGAGTCTCTTCCTCCTAGAGTTAGAAGGTTTCTAAGGGAGAAGTGAAGTCTAAAAAAGAGATGTATAAATGTTCTCTCCTGAGCCTATGAAAAGGAGAAAGAGTTGTAAGGGTAGTTGATCTTCATTCATTGGAAAAAAAATCGGTAGTGGAAGCCGATGGCCTTGAGTGAAGAGGAATCGAGAGTGGATATAGGTCACGATGACCGAACCACTATAAATCCATTGTACTCTTTTCCTTTGTTGCTTACTTTTATTACTTACTTAGCTGCTCACTTCACTTTATATTTACTCTAAGTCAAGCTTAAACACTTTCTGATATGGGCTTTATCGAAACGGTTTTTTTACATTGAACAAGTTTTTAAATCGACGTAATTTTTACATAAGCACTAATTCATCGCCCCCCGCCCCCCCTAGTGTCGATATGGTCCTTACAGTTGGTCACTCTATCATTCATCCTCCTATATTCAATGGGACAGACTATACTTATTATAAAACTCGAATGAGAGCTTTCATGCTTTCTATGGATTCGAATTTATGGAATATTATCAAAATGATTTTCAAAAGTCTTCTGATCCAATGAACGAATGGAATGATTTGGAGAAAGAAACATTTTCTTTGAATGCTAAAGCGATGAACACTTTATTTTGTGCTCTAAATAAAAATGAATTTATTCGAGTTTCTATATACGAAACTGTATATGATATTTGACATATACTTGAAATCACACATGAAGGCACAAGTAGAGTTAAAAAGTCTAAAGTCAATCTTTTAATGCATAGTTTTGAATTGTTTTAAATGAAGCCAAGCGAAACTATTGTTGTTATGTACACCCATTTTACGAATGTTATCAATAGTTTAAAAGCTCTTGATAAATATTTTTCTAATCTTTAACTTGTAAACAAGATTCTAAGATCCATTTCAAAAAGTTGGGAACCAAAAGTAATGGCAATATAAGAAGCAAATTACCTAAATAATTTTTCACTTGAAGAACTTATCAGGTCTTTAATAACCTATAAAATGACTTATATCGAACATGATAAATATAAGAACTATCTTCCAAAGAACAGGAAGGATTTGACACTTTGAACAATAGAAGACTATTCAAGCGAAAGCTCAAGTGATGATGATATAAAACTTTTGACAAAAAAATTTAAAAAGTTTATGAAAAAGATTAATTCTAAATATAAACTTAAAAATGATATAATAACTTGCTATAAATAAAAGAAGTTACCAAAGAAGAAGAAAGTATTCAAGGCAACATGGGATGAATTGAGTATACTTGAAGATGAGGAGTAAATCAACAAAGATGAGGTGGTGAACTATGCCTTAATGGTTCTTAACGACGAGGTAAGTGACTCAAATAAATAATATTTATCTTACGATGAATTACATAATGTCTTTCATGATTTGTTTGATGAATACAATTTAGTTGATAAAAAATATAAATTATTTAAAAAAGGACCATACTTCTCTTTCTAATGAATTTGAAAAATTGAAAAATGAGTATCATAAATGCTTGTTAACCCCTTGCATTAAGTGTGAAGAATTAGATTCACTTGAGAAAGAAAATATAGTATTACAACAAACGTTAGAAAAATTTAAAACTGGTAGCAAATCTTTAAACATGATTCTTGCCAATAAGAGTCATGACCGGAGATTGATTGAAAATGCCTTATGTTTAATAAAATCATGCTTGACGATTTAATGATGCTTGATGATTTGAAGTAATGATGATTTTTATGATTTATGATTTGTTGATCTTAATGACTCTTGTGATAAATCTTGTTTTTCAGTTT